TGCACTCAGTTTTAGGTTCAGAGGGCTTTTTCTTGTTAATGCATTCCTCGATCAAAATTACACTTACATGGTCAAGGACTGGGGAGGCTAAAGGTTGACTGAGATGGCTAGAAGTTAGTCCAAGTGGGGAATCATATGGGCTCGATCCAACAGAAGATCGACTAAAGGGTCGGCCATCATGACTAAGTGAAGACCTACAGGGTGGGACAGCAACTGTCGTTACTAAAGGATGGGTGGTCTCGACCACAGTAATGTCCACGGTTTGTTCCAACAGAAGAGGTAAGGTGGGGCTCTAGATGATGGTCACTAGTAGAGGGTCGGTATTTGAAATTAAGTTATCGTATCATGTCTTTCCAAGTAAGGTACTCATCGCGAGACTCTTTATGATCTTCCAATTTCATCCAAAATTGAAGAGCCCGACCTTTTAGGTGAGACTTAGCGATGCTAACCTGGTGGGATTCAGGGATATGACATGATTCAAAATAGTCCTCTAGTTGTCTAGCCCATTCCCTAAAGTAGTAAGGGTACGAAGAACCATCAAAGGTAGGCAGACGGTAAGGTGACTCAAAGGGAGGTCGTTGTGGCTTAAACTCAGGTCTAGGTTGATAAGCAGAGTGGGGCACATAATTCGAGTGGGGATAGTCAACAGGTTTCTCCGTCATAATTCTAGTCATAGTGCCCACTAGGTTAACGATGTCATCTAACCTATTTTGGAGGATTATCGGGTCCATTGAAAATTGTTAAGTGATGCTTAATGAAGAATGGGTGTAAGGGACAGCACTCTACAAGGAGAAAGCACCATTACGATTTGTTGTATGGTGCGGGAAGAATACAGGACAGCCAGCTACAAGAATGATTTAAGTGATCTAGGCATTTGGAATGGTTGCTAAGGCTTGGACAGCACCTAAATCAGAGGTTAGACCCACTTAAAGTCCACCAAACAGTGCAGAATTTTGTGTGGACAGCAAACTACAGCAGTTGGGGAAACTGCCTAAGTGTTTAGGATGGTTTCTAGAGCGTGGACAGAACTTAAACACTAAGTTAAACTCTTCTAAATGTCACTACACGGTGCAGATTTTTGTTGGACAGCAAACCAAAAACCAGGGAAATAAAATGTAGGTGCTGTTTATGCATGCAAACAAACATTTGGTTGGTTAGGTAAACTTTTAGGATGTTCTCTAGGTGCAAGGACAGCACAAGGACAAAAGAAAATACACTCCAAACGTTGATTATGAGTGCAGAATTGATCAGGACAGCAAACATTCAATAGTGGAAAATAAATATGACGGTAGAGTTGTGCAAGCAATCAAGTCTAGAAGTGGCTAGGTTGAGGACAACACTTTGATTTGCAAATTGACACCTTTAACTTCCTGAAGTGTGCAGAAATTTACTGGTCAGCAAAGTAATCAATGATTTAAAATGTTATAAACGGTGATATGCATGCAATGATGACTAATAATGATTACGTAGCTCCCTAGGATGATTTCTAGCATTTGTAGCCTATGCTAGCCATGCTCTGATACCAAGATAATGTGAAACAAACAGGAGTTACTTTAAGAAATTAAAGAGAGCAAATTAACAAAATAATTCCAAACTAAAGTTATTACTTCTAACAAAGATTGGTCCTCGGAGTTCCTGGTCTTTAACTTGCTTTAGGCAAAGAAGAGCGAAGTCGATTAACCAAAGAATTCAAGAAAATGCAAAGAGTAATTGTAAAGCTACGACGATAAACAAGAATCCACGATTTAATAAGGAAAGCTTTCACCTTTGAAGCCCATACGCTCAAATAGTCTAGGCTTTAGCGGAAGAAGAGTCTCCACATTAGAATCGAGGTCACTCCGAGGAAGAAGGAACCTAGGATCGTCGTTCTTGGATAGGTGGCCGGAGTGGTGAAGGATAATGATCGTCCAATGATGATCCAACGTCCCTTTGATTTTTGCTCGTCGATCACGTCAACTAAGGCGTATTGGGTACGGTTGATGTAGTCTTCAATGGTGTCGTCGAAATCAAAGCCCACGTCAAAGAACGGCGATTGGGGGGTGTCGACTTGACCTCTATCGTCATGCACAAATCCAAAGTTCCATTCGGGTTCCGCCATGCATCCTTGTCGGGAGATGGAGCATCGTTGGAAACAAGGGGAAAAGGAGGGGTGGAAGTGGCGGCTAGGTTGAGAGATCAAGAGAGAAAATTTCAGGAATTCTGAAATTATTTTAGGTTTTGGGTGAGAGGGAAGGGATTAATTGTGAATTTCAAATTGAATCCCATTAAGGAGGGGGGCGGCAATGAGGGGAGGGATTTGGGGCTGATTTTGTGGGGAATTGGAGTTAATTAGGGATAGAGAAGGAGCCCATGAAGGGGGCCAGCCACATGAGTAGGAGAGAGGGGCTTGAGTTTTGGTTAAGTGGGGACCACCATATTAATTATAAATTTTACAAAAATCTGAAATTAAATTTCAGTTTTCTTAAGGGGAGAAAACTTCTATTTAGGAGGGCAATCAATTTAAACAATTTGAATTTCAAATTCGAAATTGAAAATCACTTAAATTGATGGCGTAAATTAAGGAGCTAAATTAGGAAACAATTAATGGCCACAAGAAAATTTGAAATTTCAAAATTGGAACTCCATGGAGGGGGCGTCCGGCGGCTAGAGGAAGGGGAAAAGGGGCGGTCACGGTGTGGGGTGGCTGGCCGGCGGGAGGTGGCAGCCAAGGGGCCGGCGGCTTGGAGCTGTTTTGGAATAGGCGGCGGTAAGAGCAAGGGGAGGAAGGAGTGGAATTTTCTAGGGATTCGACGACGACGGATTTACTAACCTCAAATGTCTTCAATTCGACGACGGATTCAACGAGATAATTCTAATAATTAAGTTATAATTAAATACAATTTATTGGATAGCTTGATCTGAGTTTAATTTGATTTGGAATCTTGTTATGACTTCGGATTTTGGATCTTGGATGTTGGAGAACATGCTACATCAGTAGTGTGGTATAATAGCATAGCAGCCTCATGAGCAAATGACTGAGTTGTTATTAATGGTATGAGTGGTGATCCAAATTGCGTAGGGGTAAGTAATGGAGATTATTTTAGTGACTAATTGCTATATTTTTTTTTTTTGAAATTCAGCCTCTTAATGATTAAAATAGAAAAAAATACAGTTTTTGAAAGAAGGGTTAGAATATTACGATGTTTAAAACTTGAAAATTATGGTAGATTTACACTCTGTAATTGATTTAGTTTTAGATATAATATATTTCGAAAAAAAAAATCCAAATAGTCCTTCGACTCTTCATATGTTACTCAGCTATAGAAACGTGTTTCTAAATGGTCCCTTGGTTGAGGGAATTTGGCATGCAAAATTGATCCCAATTTAATTTCTCAACTATACAAAATTGATCACAATCTAATCTCTGAGAGATCATCTAGTATCAATTCTAGTCGAGGGACTAAATTAGAGAAATGTGATACTTTTAGGATTAAATTGGCCGCATATAAATAGTTGAGGGCGACTATTTTGAGCTTTTGCTTTATATATATTTACACACACCCCATTTTATTTTAATTTTTTTTATGATTGCCTTAGAAGATATTAAAAGGTCACCCCCATTATTTTTCTTAAAATTTAATTTTTTTAGAGAGATTTTTTATTATAAATTTATGTTATTTATATTATTTTGATTTTTGATTTTTTTATTTATATTATTTTAATTGTAAGACGTTTTTATTTGATTTTGTTTTAAAATATGCACTTGAGTGCAAACTCCCCATAAATTTCATCTCTTTTGTATGCGATGAGTGTTTCCTCTTGCCGCAACTCAAGCCATATGGAGGAGACTATTCAAGCCTTCTTGGCGTTCTTAATGCAGTAGGACTGTTCATTCGATGAAACGAACGGTGTATTTATGAGATTTTGTGTTCGTATCTTGTGAAATTGCATGTCTTCAGCCTTTACTGTCACTTTGGATTGAAGTAAATGTGGATCACATATGAATGTCAGCATTCTTTGAGGCGAGAGAACAGGAGGAATAAGAGTAATACAAACTTTTCTATTCCTTTTCTATAGGTGACTTTAAAGTAATTCAAAATTTTAATCAAGATAAAATAAATCCTAACATCTGATTTAAAAAAAATGAAGATAATCTAACAAAAGAGTAATTTCTATATGATTAATGGAGAGTTGATTATCTTAATAATGAAGTTAAAGTAAAATACAATTTATTAGATTGATGATCTATTACATTCATTTTGAATCGGAATATTATCATGAATTTGGGCTTTGAATCTTGGATGTGCGACCACGTACTGCATCAGCATTATGTGGGGTATAACTGATATTAATGGTGTGAATAGTTATCCAAATTGCATAGGGGCAAGCATAAAAAATGAAACCCATGACTAATTGCTTTAGTTTTTCTGTGAAATTCAAACTTCTAGTGAGCAAAATAGACAACATAGATATAGTTCTTGAAAGAAGAATTAGAATATTATGATGATTAAGGCTTGAGAATTATAGTAGATTTAAAGAACGCATTATAATTGGCTTAGTTATTGCTATAATATTTGTTATTTTATAAAAAAATGAGGAAAATTGACATTAAATATTTTTGGACTTAATACAAAACTGTCGGTGAAATCACACAAATTTAAATTTGAATTTGTGGAAGTTTTGAAAGCATACATAAATAAATAAAAAAGGGCGTCATTATAGAATTTATAATTATTGTTTTCTTAAAATCCGAGTCATAATCCTTTTGCCCCTTCATATTTCACATTGGTGCAAAGTATATGGATGTATTTTATTTCTACAATCTTGATGTCTAGTAAATGTTAGACTTAAGATCGGGGTTTGGTGTCTTCTTATTTTTGTTGTTGATGGATAGAATAATTTGTGAAGTTAATAACATGGATGCCTTGCCCTTAAAACAGCATTTCTCCATTTCTATGTAGCATGGTTTCAGATAGTTTTATTGAGTGAGATACTACCCAAATCTTCTTAAACTGAAGCAGGTTTCCACTGAATCAAATGCTGAACCAGTCTTACCAAAGGTTGATGCTCCACAACATGCAGAGATGGCTCATCCACGAGTTGAAACTGCATCTAATCAAGTTAATCCCCAACCCAGTAAATTGTCTTCACATGCCAAACCTACCCCACCAGCTGAACTCACAGCACCTCCAAAAGTTGATTATGCTACCGATCTTTTTAATTTGCTCTCTATGGACAGTTCAATGGGAACAAAGTTGGAGTCATCACAAAATGACGATAATTCTTGGGCAGGATTCAAGTGTAAGGCACCATGACATTTGTTTTTATAATTACATAACTTGAATGGGAGTATTTTTTCTAATCTTTAAAGTGTACCATGCCATGTGCATTTTCTCCCTTTTTATTACTTGATCTCCATACAATGATCAATCAATTAGCTTGCAGATAATGAACTCTTCTGATGCAGTATGGGTTAATTGTTGTAATTTAGTGATGTGCTTATTTTGATTAACTGTTCGCTCTATCTCTTATTGGCAGCTGCAGAGAAAAATATTACCACAAATTCAGTTGGAAATAACACCCAATCTGCTGCACTAATAGAGGATCCATTTAAAGATTCATTATCTGTGGCACAAACAGTTGTTCCAGTGAAATCACAAACTAATGTGAAGAATGATATAATGGGTCTATTTGAGAAGGTCAACCATTCTCCTTATTACTATTTTAAATGAGCATTGCTTAATGTTCCAAAATATGCTTCCAAAAACCTGCTCGACATGTTACATGGAAGTATTTGTAGGATTTACGGTCTTCAATTTTTCCAATTGTAACTATCGCTCGGCTAATTAGCAAGATTTTTTAATTGTTTTTTCTGAAGTAGTGCGCATCTCATTGGAGATATAGATATGAAGCCAGGTTTTGGAACATCAAAGTTAGTTTTGTTTTCTGACAAAATCGTTAGGTAGTGGAGGAGGTTGATTCAATGCGTCAAGAACCATGAGCTTCTTTTTAGTATTCAATGGGCTGTGATCATGAATAGTTATCTTGCAGCATCTTTGAATTGCTAATTTGATTTTAGAGTCAGTTACTAAAATTTTGACCACACAGTGGCGAGAGGGAAAAATTAGGTTTGCAAAAATGTTTTTTTTAGTAATGCATTATAAGCATCATAAAGGGAATTGAGTTACACTTATCTTAAAGGCTACTACAGCTTTTTGCGTATGTTTTTCTTCCACTGCAATTTTTTTGTTGTCATGGACAGAAAATGAAATACTGGATTGATTTTGTTTGCCCACTTTTGTTTATGTTGCAATGCAGCCCAATATGGGTTCTCCCTATGCTATCCATCAGCAGCAGCTGGCATTCCTTTCCCAGCAACAGGCTCTTCTCATGGCTGCAACTAAATCTGGTGTTACATCTCCAATGATTCCAGTGAATGCCATTCAACCTGGCATAAATCTTTCCAATGCACATAGTGGAGGTCTTCCAAGTCAAAGCTGGCCAACTCTTGGTTCCGTTGCTACAGGAATGGTACCAATGGTTGGGCAAAATGGCCTCAACAACTTCGGCCAGGTATTTGCTTGAAAATCTACAATTGGTTCGAACTTTTCATATCTATGCCGTAATCTCTTTTTTTTATCTGACAGACTGGGAACATTAGACCTATATATCCTGGAAGTTATGGATCTTTTTCTACACCCAGGCATGCTACTAAACTTGATTGCAGACCTGTATTGCATTGCTGCCATTAATCAGAAAATTGTCACTTTGATTACCTCAGTTTGCGTTGATTTTTCTTCTTTTTGAGCTCGTAATAGACCTGTATTGTATTGTGTCGGTGTGCATGTATGCTAATGAACACTTGACACTATGCAGCATGTACTCCATGAACTACTCAAGTACACCAATCAATGGAGTGGCCATTGGCGGAGCAGCGAGGCTATCTTCACCTGCTGCACCTTCTGCAACTGGCACTCAAACAGGAAAAGAGTATGACTTCTCATCATTAATGTCAGGGATGTTCTCAAAACAATGAAGCCTCATGTTCAAGAACACTGGCTGGTGTAACTGTTCGAGGGAAAATTTTTATTTGTGGTAGAATGAAGATAGTTAGCCGGTTGTTATGGAGACCATTTGATGTTTATTTGCTGGATTCATTTGATAGAATGAACTCCAGAATGAATAAAGTACTGCCATTTGTTGGCACCGTTTCTTATAGCGGTGCTTTTCATGGAGGGGGTTGGGTAATCACACCATTCAGATGTTAGTGAAAGTGAAGTCCTGGATAGAGTGCGGAAAGTTAAATGAATAAAATGTCATTCGCTTAAATTTATTGCTTTGTTGAGTTAGGATAGTCATGACGTGCCTTCAACTTCAACTGAAATGAATGTTTAATACTAGCTTGGCAACAGGTTGGATTTAGGTTATATTTTAGGTCAGATTGGCTGGGGTGAGAGTTTTAAGACCTATTGCAATATGATTTCTGGGACAACTAGGAACGTTTCAGTTTTATTAGTGTTGGAAAAGCTACATAGGAAGAGGAAAGTTTCATTGGAAGAGTTAGTGTTTTGCACCGTAAAGAAAATGTTCTTACAATAACGAGGGCAAGGAAGATTATATATAAATACTGATTTCAAACTTTGACTTGACCCAGCATGTAATTATCAAATTTGATCATTAGAGTGATGATGATTCGTGGTGATTTAGATTGTATTGTCTGCAATTTTTCTTTCAGCTTCTTTTGATCTAATATTTCACTATTTTAAGTTTATGGATTTCATTCATAATTTTAGATCAAGATCATAGAATCAGCGGCTTGTACCATCCACATGATATTATGACTTACTGGTTAACTTCGACTTGTTATCTTCAAATTTGTCTGTGGTTTCCTTAGTTATATGGTTCATATTTATTGTGACAAACAATACAAAGTGCTATTTATTTGGTTAGGAATCGTCTGTTTCATGCTTAGACAAAATGCAGCGAAGAAACCCTGAACTTTGTAGAAAATGGATTGTAGATGAAAAAGTGGACTTGCATCTGATTTCTTGGAGAACAAACTTACAGAGATTTTTTCGAAGGCTGTAATGTTCTGAGAAGCAAGGCTAATGCTATCTCAATGGATTCAGCATTACAGGGTAGTGCTTAGATTTAATTGTCATGTGTTCCTAAAATAGTTATTTTAATTTCGTTATTTAAAATAAGAGTTCGCCATTCCTTTCGTATTTGATATTACCTTGATCTTTTAAAATTTTCATTTAGTTGGAGATGTCTCTTTTTTCTCGTAGGGGCTGTGCTAGGCTAGGGGTTGTAAGTTAGAGGGGGAAATGATTTTTTTTTTTAATATATGTCATTAAATATGATGCAATAATATCTTATTTAATCCCATAGATCCATTATGGGAGATCTGCTTCTTCAATCTTGTTTCATTATGATAGGCGTCATGATTCTTGAGAGCTCGTATGTATGATAGTATTTGTTAGAGTTCTGTGAATCTTGTGATATTTGTGATCATGTCTACTTATAATTTAAAAATTAAACTTATCAACAATTTTTCTCTCTAAAAAAACTGCACCCCATGAAGTTTTTCCTTCTTGTATCCGAGTAGTTTCTAGCATGAATCTTTCTATTATACCATCTTGTTTAGTAAATTTGCGGGCTCAAAAAGGTCATATTAATGGTTTTCATCTGATTTCTCTTCTAATGCAAGGCATAATTATTTATGAATATTTAATTGTAGATTATCTCTGCTAATGCAGGCTAAATCGACATTGTTTTCTCTTTTAATGCAGATTAAATTGACATTATCAAAAAATAAAATATGAAAGAGTAAATCATGTTGCCTTCATTTTCGTGAGTATCAGAAGGAAGTATCCCTGGATATAGAAGTGGTAAACTTTCCAATGGTATAAAGTTACAAAATTGGCTTTCCAAGTGTTAATTAAAAGAATATTCGTAAGGCCCATATCGAATGTACGGGGGGAGTGATTCTCACTAAGAACATTAAGATTTTGTTTAAAACTTATGTAGTAGTTGTCATTTACAGAAGCCAATCAAAATGACTGAATTTGGATGCGAGGTGCTTTAACTGATTACTGGAGCAATGTTTTCAAAATCCCCGTTTTACATTTCTATGATTTTAACTGAATAAGATGACACCTCAAGCTTTCCTCTCGAAACTGCAAATGGGAGGATAGCAGTAGCATTAGATATGGTAATAAAGAAGAAGGATAGAAATAAGATTTTAGTGAATGATATAAAAGAAGGTATGATTAGTTACACCTGCAATTCAGAGAAAAATTCCAGCAATTCAAAGCACTCTTCAATGAGGGGCTTCTCTTTTGAGATTAATTGGGCAAGTTGTGCTACTAAAGGAACTGTTCTGTTAGTCTGCCCAATAATTTAAGGTACACTGATTCAACTAGCATTTTTAGAATGGCATGGAATTGCAAAGATATTATAATTAAATGGCCATATAATAAATGAACAGACTCGTACCATGGAAACGCATGCTGCTATGTTGCCATTGATTGCTGCCATTAAGTTTGTAGCTTTACGCATCAAGATGGAGAGTATCTGGGGATCGGCCTGGCCAGCAACTCGAAAACATTTTAATAAGACTAGAAAATAATTACTGCTGATCAATCAATTCGGTAGTTACATATCCTCTTTAATTAATTAGGGTTAAGGATAGGCATATATAGCTAGGTACCTTGGCACGGTCAGTCAGAGGAAGCCTGCACACGACGGCGTGCAAACAGTCTTTGGTTGATGATATTGCTGCCATGTGATGTTTCTCCATATAATTTACCCATCTCTCCATTGCTTTAATCTGGTCGACGACGACATCTCGGATCGCATATTTAATTAAGATATGTATGTAATAATGCCTAATTTAATTAAGTTAAGATACAACTATACAGGGCAAAGGCCGAGCATTCCTTTCCTTACTAACCTGAGGAGAAATGAGAGTGTTAAGCCTAATGCTAAGTTTGTGATTGGCCAGCTGCAACCGCTTGTGTGTGACGGCAATCCGTAATTCCATCAACCCAAGCCCTGCGCTCACCAATGCTTTCTGTGCTTTCGTAAGTACGTACGTGTCAAAATCAAGAATAGTTTTAATTATAAATAGGATTGTCTAGCTTAAGCCTGGGTTGTTGTTTAATGGACCACCATTCTTACCTGGGCCATGGCCCACTTGTTCGAGTTTATCGCGACCGTTCTCGCGTTGACGAACCTCCACTGCATCAAATGGTTGTGCGCCATTCTCAACTCATGCTGCAATTCCACTGCAGCCTGCGCTCCTCTCGCCGGCGAACCAACAACCTCCGCCATCCCTCTTCTCCCCGACAACCTATTATTCGCCGTCTCCTTTGCCACCGATATTGATGATTTCGTCGTCGTCGTTGTCGATGCCAACGTTACGCCGGAGCCGGAAAATGATTTTCTCCTGAACAGGCCCCCCAATCCCATACTAATTATTTTCCCCATCCCTCCACTGATCATTTCCTTAGCAGGAGACGTCGGCTGACGCAGCACGGGTGGCGATCTTGAATTACGTGGCACCGGCGGCGATCGTGAATTCCGCATAACCGGTGATTTGGACCTCCGAACAGGGGAACCCGATCTCCTGACGACCTTGCCGGCGATCTTGATTGGAGCCCTCGATCGTGAATTCGCGCCAGCGTCTCTGTGATCGGATTCAGTGCTGGGGAAGTCGAGGCCAAATTCTGATCTTCTTTCGGCGAGGGCGTTCTCATCGCTGAAGGGAAGGCGGGCGGCGGATGGAATATTGGGCCCGGAGAAGGAGGAGGAGGAGGACGAGGAGGAGGACGGTGAAGGAGGCGTTCCGGGCTGCTTTTTCTTCTTCTTCGATGCTGATGATGATAATGATGGTCGATAACGCCTCCCCCTGCCGTTGCTGATGTTAATCTCGAAAGCAGAAGAGTTTGATCTGGCGCGTTGGCGGGAGGAGAACGTGCTTGCGGCGTGTGTTTCGAAGCCGACGATCCGCAATTCTTCTTCTTCTTCTTCGTTCTTGCGGTCGTTGATTAGGTGGTCTTGAAGCGTGGCTGCGATGACGTTGGTGTTCGGGGCGCCGGGTTGGTTTTTGGCGGAAGGCCAGAGACCGCCGCGGAGCTGGAGGTCTTCGGCGGAGCGCTGCTTACGGAGTACTTTTCGTGGTGTTTCGGGAAAGTGTTTACGGCGACGAGGGGAGCGGGAATGAAGTGTTGATGTGGTATTTGTAGGGGACTCGCCGCCGGAGGATGGGGAGGAGGGACAGATGGAGGTGGCTGCTGCTCCGGCCGGCCGGAAGCCGTGGGACACGACTCGGGAGATGGATCTTCGCTTGTCCATCTTTTTTTCACAGGGAAAGCGAAATTAAGGAGGGGAGAGACTTATTGTCGTTATTATGATTAGAAATGGTTTAGGCAGTGGTAGAATGGCGGTTAACTTGGGGCAAGAAAGCCGGCAGTATATTTGATTCATATGTTACCAATCATCCGATCTAAATATAGAATCCCGCATCTTAGATGATAAGATTTATGAGTGGAACTACACATTGATAGAATTATTAAGCCCAATTACAGTCATAAATCATATAAAGTCCTTCAATTTTTATTGAACTTTTGTCATTGACAACACAACTCATTAAAATGTAACTAAGGATATTATTAAATTATATTTAGTTAATCAAAATGAGATTAATAAATCGAATAATTAATTCTATATGCCAAATGCCTTAACAAAGAAAATTTCCTTGGATGGATGCAGAAGACAGTTTGACTGACTTGAACTGGAGATTGCACCGGCAGCCACGTGTCAAGAAAGGTAATGTGCCGGACGTTATTTTTGTTGTTGTCTGCCAATTGTGAGTGAGTAAATACTCGTTTAACCATAATAAAATAGTCCGGCCGGCAAGGATATTGAAAAAAAATAATTATTGTCACTTTTATTGGATTTAATTTAAAATAAAAAAGTAATTAAAATTTATATTAGGTTGATCTCAGAAGGAAATCAAATAAATTTAAGACTACTCTCTCATAATAAAATTGATGAAAATACCTGCAGCTTTTTTTTTTTTCTTGAGAAATTAAGGGCCGAAACACAAACTCACGCGCACAGACTATCATTTTTGAAGCTCACCGACGACACTGCTTAGAAACTAGACGAAACTGCTTAGAAACTAGGCAGCACCGCCGGCATTCAAGGCGGAGGGGAAACCAGGCAGCTAAAAGGGGAGAGAGAGAGGGCAGCTAGGACATCCTTCGATTGTTCCCTCTTTCCTTGGAACTTATGAGCCCTTGAAGAACACCTACATTGAATCTCATTGTATAACTTAAAGTTGGCAGATTTTGTTCCATACACACCTAATTAATAAAATCTCCAAAATTAGACTACCATGATCCCCATCAGATGGTTATATTGCTAGCTTAATAACATGCTTAACTTAATTATATGTGGAAAGACTAAAGCTTATAACTAATTACATTACATCATTTACTACTGCCTGATATCGGGTTACAGTTCATAAAGTTTGGAAAAATAAAATAAGATTCAAGAAGAAATTTAAACAAGCAAGAGAATCCCCATAACCTGATAGTTCCATTTATCAAGTCGACGATTACAAAGGCTTTGGATAACTGCTTTATTGCCATCTTATGCCATAAAACCTGAAGCAGTAGGCCCGAAATGAGCTGATGCCTGAAGATCAAAGATTTAGCAAAAGTTGTCATCTTTCTTCTGCTCGAATCCTCACTCTTTCCCCATTGAAGTGCAGGTATTTCCACTTATTCTGATACTTCATGAGCACCAGCTTCTGTTTCTCAAATTCTCTCAACTTCCCCAAAGCTACAGCAACTCTTTTCACCGTATCAGCATCAGGTCTTACACCCAGCTCCTCCATGTCTGCAAATACCTCCACAACTTTCTCAGAAACATGATGGTGATCATAAAGAGAAATCATTCTAGAAAACAGCCGCTTCGATACCGATCTCGTGTGCCTCTGCAAAATCATCCTCCACAATTCCTCTGCCTCCTTCAACCTTCCATCCCTTTCAAAAGCTAGAAGCAAACTATCGTATGTTCCCATAGTGAGAACTTGGCCTTTGCTTAGCAACCACTTGCTCACCTGAATGATTCTTAACCATTGGTTTCTCCTTCGAAGAATTTCCAGAGCCTTCGCCGCTGCAACAACCGGAAATTCCGTCTCCCAAGCAGTCCATTTGTCCAATGCTCCATGAATGACTTCCTTTTCATTTGGAAGCTTTGAAACGATGCGAACGAGATGAAGAGCTTTCTGACCGGATCCTGCTGTATCCCTCTTCATCCATAAATGGTGCTCCTTTTTCCCTGATTTCGAATAGGACATTGGCGCATTGTTCATGCATCTAACAGCTTCGATTCTCGCAACCACGGACGCTGGAGTCCGTAAGAATGATGAATTTGGCAAATAAAGGCCTTTGAAGCTCGATTTGGGGAGGAAGCTGGCGTGAAAGCATAACCCTAACCCTAATTCCGTCATTTCCCCTTTTATGCCAAAGTCTCAGAGCCTTACCAGATCACAACTCGCCTATGCACATGAGGAGAAGAAGCAAAGGGTGGCGCCGCGAATATATGAAACGGCGGAAAGAAAAATAATGAGGGGTCGGCGGCGGACGGCGTAGACAGAGAATTTTGCTAAAAGTAAAGCGGGGCAGGATGATCCGCTGTGGATAACTAGAAATCTAAGTAGCACTTTAACTAAGTATATTTACATATCTCACCCTCTTAAATAAATATTTATTTAATGCCCTAAACTTAGCGCCCCTTGATTCCATTCTCAGCTCTATCAAAATCGCTGGTGTACCCCTCACTTGCGTCGAATGCTTGGCTTAGAGTATTAGAAAAATATAATAATCTGCCATCAAAAGAAGGCATCAGATCCATAGAGCAGGGGATTTCGGTTGCCAAAAACACTTATGACTGATCTAATATATTTAGAAAAACATAGCAGAAGCATACGAGACGCCATTAAAAAAAAAATAAAAAAAGACAGTTAGGGTCGTATGATCATAACCCTCTTGAAAAATCCAATCCATAAAAAAGGACGCAGCCACCGAGCTGAAAAAGAAGCACAAGCAGCCGAATGATTATGGATGATGAGCTCTATAGTGAAGATCAGTTGAGGCGCGTGAAGTTGGGGCATTTCTTTGAGATATGCGATGCGACTTCGTCCAGAGAAGAGAAGAGAAGAGGCGTAATTTCTAGGGATGAGGTATGTCACTTCTGGCGGAGGAGATATATTTCACCATAGATTGAGCAGTTCACATGCATCTTACCGGAGAAAATGCTGGAGGTACAGAGTATTATTTTTAGGGTTTTAAAAACTTTTTTTTTTCTGAATATAAAATTTTATGGTAAAATATGCAAATAACCTTGTTTAATGTGCTCTACATATAAATTCTCTTTCTTTCTTTTATTATTTTTTTATAGTTTAGGCACTGTTCCTTCCGAAATTAGATAAATTATGTTTAGGTGTAGAAGACTTGGGGTTCTTGGAACAGTTTTTTTTTTTTTTTTAAGTAAATCTTAAAAATAAAATTTTCTTTTTAAAAAATTTAAGTACTAAAAAGTTAATTTATAAAATAGTATGAAAATTGTCCAAACGTATATGAGAAAATCCCGAAATTTATCACCATGTGCAAACCTTATCAAAAATTTTTTGAATGAGAAAAATTGATGTTTGGTTAAATTTCAAAAAATATCAAATGAATTTTTAATATGCATGATCTCAATTTTGATCAATTTATTTTAACTTTATTCAAATTGTATTCAAATCAATTTTGATCTCAATGGCTTAAAAAAAGTTAGAATATAGGTATTTTGATCTAAACAAATCTTTCGAATATATTTTGCCAAAAAGAAAATAAAATTTTAATATACATATTTTTCATCTTTGGACATTGGTGGACTTAATTTTTCTTTAAAATTCACTTGATTTTTTTTTTATGCTCTAATTACTTGTGATGTGGTATGCTTTGGGAGAAGCAGGGCAGTTAAGAATAACAAAAATAAGAAGAAACACAGAAGAAGGAGGAAGTAGAGCCAAGCTCAAAATGTGTAATATTTCAATCTGAGGGTTTCTCCCCATCTCCAACAAGTATAAGCTACTATCGTGAGTTCTCTCTCACGCTGAAAATGGCTAAGCAAAGCTAAAAGCTGTTTTGTACTCTTTTACCTAAAGAAGTAAACTAGGATAGTGGGAAGGCAACTACTCACAGTAACATATAAGAAAAAGGACTAATAATAAGCATACTAATAAAATACGTATACTACTTAGCTGCATTGTTATGCATCGCATCATTCCCCCCCACGGTCTGAGGAGTCCGATTCTGTAGAGGAAAGGATGGTAGCCGCCTGATCTGGAGGATGATAAGCCGAAAGGTCTGCCACGTTGAATGTAGAGGACGTGTTATACTCCGGCGGTAGATCAACAATGTAGGCGTTGTCGTTAATTCGACGGGTAATCGGTACAGGACCGACCTTCCGACGACCCAATTTCGAATAAGTGCCTGCAGCAAGTCGTTCACGCCTCAATCGGACCATCACTAGATCTCCCGGCTGAAAAAGCTTGGCACGTCTATGCTTGTCCGCTGCTGCCTTGTAGTGCTTATTCGACTCAATGAGCCGATGGCGCACGTCCTGCAACATGGTGTTGAATTGCTCTGCCAGTGTGACAGCTGCCCTGTTGTGGCATTTGGGCAACACAGCAATATCAATAGTGTGATTAGGCGGCTTGGTGTAAACCACCTTGAACGGACACACCCCAGTAGATCGGTTTGGCATGCTATTGTAAGCAAATTCGGCCTGTCCCAGTAATTCATCCCACAGTTTCGGATGCTCCTGAACTAGACACCGGAGCATATTGCCAAGCGTTCGATTCACCACCTCGGTTTGGCCGTTAGTTTGCGGATGGTAGGTAGAACTGAGTTTGATTTCCGTTTGTAATCGCTTCCATAATTCCTTCCAAAAGTGGCTGACAAGCATGACATCCCGGTCCGACGTGAGGCTGCGAGGGATGCCATGAAGACGGACGATTTCGTTGAAGAACAATTTGGCTACATTTAGTGCGTCGAAAGTCTTTCGACATGCGACGAAGTGCGCCATTTTTGAGAATCTATCCACCACCATCATAATGGAATCGTTCCCGCGGCGGGTGCGAGGCAGCCCAAGGATGAAGTCTAGACTTAAATCTTCTCAAATACTCTCCGGCACGGGTAACGGCAAGTAAAGGCCCTGATTTTGTCCGCCCCCCTTATAGCTTTGGCAAATTGGGTAGCGCTGCACAAATCTCATCACATCTCGCCGGAGGTGTGGCCAAAAAAATCGTGACTGGAGTTGCGCCAGGGTGTTGCTACGGCCCACGTGAGCGGCCAACCCACCACAGTGAAGCTCCTTAATCAACTGCGATCTCCAAGAAGAGTCAGGAATACATAACTGATTGTTTTTGAACAACTTTGGGAGAAGCAGGGCAGTTAAGAATAACAAAAACAAGAAGAAACACAGAAGGAGGAGGAAGTAGAGCCAAGCTCAAAATGTGTAATATTTCAGTCTGAGGGTTTCTCCCCATCTCCAACAAGTATAAGCTACTATCGTGAGTTCTCTCTCACGCTGAAAATGGCTAAGCAAAGCTAAAAGCTGTTTTGTACTCTTTTACCTAAAGAAGCAAACTAGGATAGTGGGAAGACAACTACTCACAGTAACATATAAGAAAAAAGACTAATAATAAGCATACTAATAAAATACGTATACTACTTAGCTGCAATGTTATGCACCGCATCAACTTGGTTACTAAAATATATAATTGATACTAATTTCAATTAAGGGGTGTATTAATTATATGAAAATTAATGTTAAACCTATTTAATAGCTAAAATGTATCATAATACAAGGAAAGGCTAACTAAAGAGTCAGTGGTCAAGAAAGCATTGAATACTATATTGTACATCCCTTTTATGTAAGATCAAGATAACTGGTAAATTTGAAATAGTGACTATGAACATTTAAATTATTATTAATAACAATTTCAATAAGAATTGCATCATTATTGTCACAATCTATTATTTTTGCATGACCAAAAGTTGGTCTTCAATTCCAAAATGGAATATTCTAGAAAAATTTACATTCAGCATTACATTCTATGAGCAAAAGAAAAAGCCAGTCCAAAATCACATCAAATAAATTGCAGCTTTCACCCATTCCCTTAAGAAAATGACCTTGATATGAAATGAAAGTTGATTCATAAATAAATATAGTAAGCTAGTTATAAAAAAAAAAAAAAAAAACACGTACAAATAGTACGATTTAGTCTCCAAAAGTACTACAGAATGTGTGCATATGCTAAAACCTTAAACCCTATGGCCTAACTGCTAAATTTACAATGCAATTCCCGTTTGTATTGGAAAAATCATGGCAGGAAGTTTTTATCTGCCTACAATTTCACCAATATACGCATAAAAATGGCCAACTTTGTCAGCTCACCTTTGCATTGAGCGTTGGTACAGAACTTCTGCTGTCATCACCCAGAACCCCACTGCTCCTTTCTCTTTGGCACAAAAAAAAAGGTGGTTTATTCTCTATCCAACAGAAACGTATAGGCTGATGAAAAGAACCAGCAGTTTGCAGTTTGACACTGAAGCTGTTATCTCGCCAGAAAAATTTGGGCTCCAGAATCCTGCCCATTGGCGATGCCCAGCTGCTTCACCTCCATAATTTTTTCATAAAAATACAAGTGCTTGTTCGAGATAGGATTCTGGACAGATCCTAATCAAGATCATTTTGGAAAGCTCTACTCATGCTTCCAGGAACTGCAGCAGGCGATGGTTCTTCCTCCCGCTCTGGTTGAATGTTCAGATCAATCTGTGTCTTTATAGGAGATGGTGTAGCCCTCTTCCGCTCCAATTCATCATCAACTAATCCATTGGCATGTGTCATTGGAGGGGAAACACCTGAATTATGAATAACGGGAGCTGATGGGGATGGTGGTGTTCCTGGTGACACCTGTGTTGGATGAGTAGAGTTTTGTTGCTTTTTGGGGGTTGCAGTATTCTCAGCTTCCTTCTCAGACTGACGCTTCTCTCGGCGGAGCATTAGAGTCTGGAAGCGACGCTTAACAGTGAGGCAGACATTGCATGTGCATGTTTGCTTGTGCTTTGGTCCTTTGCCACTGGGAGGTTGGATGCAAACAATGCAGGTGCAACCAGGACGGTGACGTGGGTGCTTGGTAGTTGGCTGGGAAGATGCTGGGAGGGATTCACTTTCCCCTAGGATGGCAAGGTTTGCAAGAGTGTCAAGCCCATCAGATACTTCAAAATTCTCATTCTCAAACTTCAGCTTAGATTTCTTTGAGGAACCTGGGCATAGTAACAAAGCAATGTTAAGGATTTTAAAACCAATCTAACTTGAGGAACGAAAAGAAACTTGATGGATTAGGGCAAATAAAACCAAACTACCCAATTATCATATGTGAGTGCCCTTTTATCAAGAAGAGCTGGCACTTATATATTTAGGGATGTAAACAGTAGACATTGAGCCAGGGCGTAGTTCAAGCTTGAATTCATTCATGGAAGCTAAGCTTAAACTGCTGCACGAATTCATGTAAGGAAAAACAAACTGATTCAATAATGAAACAGTAGACTAGTAGAGTTTAAGCCTGTAGAATGACTCGATGAGGTGGTGGAAGAGGGTTTCTCACAACTTCAATGGAAAAAAAAGAGCTGAAGGGTGAGAAAGTTTGCCTGATAATGAGGAGAGTTCACTAGAGGAAAAGAGATTGATGAGGAGAGATCAACAAACAAATAACATTACTGTTAACGAGAATGAATCAGCAGACAAAAGCATGGCTGAATTTCCCTTCATCATTTTCAGAGAGCTTCATGTATGGTGAAGGAGAAGGGTGATTGGTAGGCTAGGCATGGTAAAATTGATTGCCATCTCCAGCACTAGCCAAAGAGAATGAAGGAATTTGGTAAAATTGATTGTCATCTCCAGCACTTCATCTGATGTAAATTTACTCTCATACACCCATTAATAAAGTTAACCAACTCCATTTGGCAAGCTCTGATGTCAAGCAAGGTTGAGCTATACTTAAGACCCATTGATAAATCAGCCATTTCCTGTGTTTGAGGATGGAAACAAGACTACAAGAGCTTAAAAAAAGCTTCATGAGCTGTTTATTAACTCGAGATTGAGCTAGCTCATTTCAGTTACCTCCCAACTACTATTACTTCATTCACATAATACATATTTTCCCAATTTTAAAAAATATTCATGTCTTGAATTATCTCCAAGATTACTTTCTCAAGCTGTCTTTTATCATATGAGTAGATAAACCAGTAACTCCACAAGGTGAAACTTCTCGTGCAGAAACGTACCACTTTTCATTGGAAGTAAATGTCTTATCTCTGTGGAAATTTCCTGAGGAGCTGAGCAAGAACATCTGTAAATGAGAAGGAATAACACTTAATTAGCTAATTTTAGTACAGTAGTACGTACATTTGATGCTTAAAGTTTAATTCATTCATGAAAAAAAAAATTCTTCTTTAAATAGCTCGAACAATTTCATGGCCCTTGTTGGCTATTGAACTCCTTTTAATGTCATTTTTCAAACGGAAAAAAAAAATCATATATAATTCAATAAATTGGGCATCATTATTTACATAACCAGCCCCAACAAAATTCTACTACAGCCATTTCCTACTTGATCCGAGGATTTCAACAGACATGAACATAAGCTAAATGTTAAACATAAGAAGACAAAATATGCTAATGGGGTCCTGAGTAAAGTTCTTATCATTATCAGGTATACTTATAACTTTAAGTAAACAGTAGAAACATTCCCTTAAGATATAATGTGACATTTTAATATAGGAGGCAAACATACAGGACTCGGAAAAAAAAATCCCTTCGCATATGCAGCCAAATTCCCTCAGATATGAATGTAGAAGGCAAAAGTACAGGACATAAAAGAAAAAAAAAAGATAAAATGATTATTTGAAAGGTCAAAATTGTTCATAGAAATTAGATAAATAGCATTTGTTCGGAAGACATCAGAAATGACACACTTAAGATAGATTTTTGCTGCTAAATTAATCATATTATAATAGATGTTTTAAGCTTAAATTAATCCCAAATTAGTGGTTAAACCCAGAAAACTTCGTAGAAAAAACAGCTGGATTTGAATTAAACATGTATGGAAATTATACAGGTGGAACGTATGCACATTTTTTTTGGATCTTACAAGCATTTTTGTAATCATACAGATGATTGCTCTCAGTTTGACAATCCTGAACTAATTCTATGTACATTTTTCTCGACTAATTTTTTTCTCGATCACAAGTTAAAATCAGTTTTTGCATGTTTGCCAGCTACTTGCTTGGAAAAGACGAGGGAATTCACAACTACGTGGCATCCTTGCATTTGTGCTCTTAGGAGGTCCCCGGTGGTGGCTGGGGAGATGGCCACATGAATCGAGGAAAGGGGGGTGTTAGACCGGTCCAATGGATCAGTCCAGCCGGTCCACGCGGGACCGGCCCAGGCGCAATGAGGCGGAAGCCACCGCCTCGCGTTTCAGCCGCACGCCCGCCTGGTTCAAACATAGCCATTTAGGAAGGATTTTTGAGGGATTTGGGAGTGAAATTTGAATGTGGGGATTGTTTAGGGATTTTCTTTTGATTTATATGCATTAAATACTTTGTTTTCCTAGGGTTAGGGCATCTTGAATTTGGTTGAAATTTGAGATCTCTTACATTTATGTTTTCTTTGGGCTCTAGCGGTGTCTAGAGATTTGGAAGAGATCGATCCTCAATTCGACCTCTCGAATTGAGGATCAATTGTATCTTGCTATTTTCCGTTTTCCTTTAATCAAATAATACAAATTACTGTGGGCTCCGAAAATTCGGCCCCGGCCTCCCTGCCGCGCGATTTCTTTATTTTTATTCGGCGGGGGAGTTTTAACGGATAAGTTCCGGGGTAAATTTTGGAAGGCAAATGGGTTTGTAGATAAGACACTTTAAGATAGATTTTTGCTGCTAAATTAATCATATTATAATAGATGTTTTAAGCTTAAATTAATCCCAAATTAGTGGTTAAACCCAGAAAACTTCGTAGAAAAAACAGCTGGATTTGAATTAAACATGTATGGAAATTATACAGGTGGAACGTATGCACATTTTTTTTGGATCTTACAAGCATTTTTGTAATCATACAGATGATTGCTCTCAGTTTGACAATCCTGAACTAATTCTATGTACATTTTTCTCGACTAATTTTTTTCTCGATCACAAGTTAAAATCAGTTTTTGCATGTTTGCCAGCTACTTGCTTGGAAAAGACGAGGGAATTCACAACTACGTGGCATCCTTGCATTTGTGCTCTTAGGAGGTCCCCGGTGGTGGCTGGGGAGATGGCCACATGAATCGAGGAAAGAGGGGTGTTAGACCGGTCCAATGGATCAGTCCAGCCGGTCCACGCGGGACCAGCCCAGGCGCAATGAGGCGGAAGCCACCGCCTCGCGTTTCAGCCGCACGCCCGCCTGGTTCAAACATAGCCATTTAGGAAGGATTTTTGAGGGATTTGGGAGTGAAATTTGAATGTGGGGATTGTTTAGGCCCCCCCACCTCACTATACTAACCGTCCTTATTGGTGCTTAGTGGGTCGGGGGCATGAAACATATCACCTAGAAATTCTGATTGAACTTTCAGGAAAAAATACAATTAAAGAGTGAGCCTGATAAAAGATGCAGTTCAAAACTCAGGTTTCAACATATGCATACATGCAATTCCATCATAAGGGTATCAAAGTTGAGAGAACATCTTAAGCAACAGTACATTAAAAATATCAGGAGATTGGAAAATCACCTTTCAGGGTCCCACTTGTTATCAGAACATGTCCATCTATGATGCAGAAGAGCATCCAATGGAAGTCTGCGCCACTTAAAACAATTTTCACATTGCACCCAGCGATTATTAATATCCCTGATATTGCAGAAAACAGAATCGGAAGCATAAACACTGTCAAACTCTTTTAAGTTCAGAGCCTTTTGTAACAATGAGAAACAAAACTACAAAGTCTATAAAGAGACAAACATGCAAGTACTCTATAAAGGAACAAGTTATAGACTTTTCAAATTATCTAGGGACATCAAGAGTTGCATTGGAGTTTGATTAAAATCTAGGAATATCCTCTTAGAGAGCTAGCAGATCACATTGTATTTAGCCATGCATTTATATCCTCTCAACATCAGCCTAAGGCCCTTCCCCAAACATACAGGTTGGCATGCCCTCGTTTCACTCCCTCGCAATCAAAAGCACGCATAGAAGTAACGGATTAGTCTCAAACCCTCCACCAGACACCAGAGAAATAAAAAATAAACACTTGACGAAAATGTTGATTAATGGGGAGAAGGATTGGCATTCACACTTCAGCTGAAACTTATGGAATAAGATGTGCCTGTGCTGAAGAACATGTTTTGACAATTATCAATGCTAACAGAAGTGCCTTTTCACCTTCCAAATCTAGATACTTAAATAGCACATTTCTCAGCACATATCCATCTTGACAACACAGCAGTTTTTTGCATAAGCCCCCTCTAAGAATGTAACTACGTGCAACTTAAGTATAGATAACACAACAATGACAACAACAACAACAACATCAACATCAAACCTTATATCCTACTATGTGGGTTTGACTACATGAATCTTTTTTTCTTCATTATGTCCTATTAAGAGTCAAATTCTCATTTAAATCTAATAAATAAAGGTTATTTTTAATACTCTCTAACCAAATCTTTATAGGTCTACCTCTACCTTTCTTAACATAGGCTGGATTTAATTCATCTACTCTCCTAACAATGTCATTGGAAGGCAGATATTTTATCAGACCAAACCATCTAAGGCGACTCTCTCTAATCTTATCTGTCACTGGAACTACTCTAACATTTTCACGTATATAGTCATTTCACATTCGGTCACTAAGTATAAAACCATTCATCTGCTTGTGCATCCTCATCTCTACAACACTTAATTTTATACTTCTTTTTAACACTTAACATTCCGGGCCATAAAGCATTGCAGGTCTCACCGCTATCTTATAATTTTTTTTTAAGCATGAGGGATACTTTTTATCCTCCACTTCAACCATCCAACTTGAATTCTACTAATAATATTCCCATCTATTTCACTATCAATTTGAACAATAGACCCGAGATAACTAAAACATGTACTCTTCTTAATGACTTGATTACCCAATCTCAAAGTATTCAGTTTTATATCAACTCAAATGAAAATCTTTAGACTCTAAGGTTGACCTCCATAATTTAAGTTTTTCATCAACCCTCTCTCTAGTTTTATCAATAAGAAGAATAGCATGAGCAAAAAGCATACACCAAGGTACATCCTCTTGTAAATTTAGTAAGAATATCCATGAATAAAGCAAAAAGATAATAGATTTTGCTGAAATGCCTTGCACGTACACTTCTGCCTCTGCCCAAGCAGATTCTTATGGATTCTGCCCCCCAAAACGCTTTCCTACTCATATTCAACATACTACCAAATATGGCCAGCTAGTCTAGCTCCCTACATGTCTCTCTTTATTAGAGATCATTGATATATAGGATGACAAATGTCATTACACTAATCCGTAGAATGTTGTATTATAATTAAATTTATATTTATTTTTTAAGCTATTAATTTTGTATATTTCTTCTTATTAAAAGTTCTCCTAAGGTTGTATAAATCAAACATAAAAGCTAGAATGAAAACTCAACAAATTCTCTTCAATTTTTGTCATGGTATCATAGCCTAAGAAGTTTTTTAGCATTTTTATAAGCTGCAACCTTCATCACCACATTGCCTAGATCTTGCAAGCCTCCATTGTTGCAAGTCTCTTCATTCCTTTTATCTAAATTTCTCATTTGTAGTTCATTGGAGCAGCCTTATTTCTCTTTACCATATTTTCCTTTCCATAAATAATAACAATAATCATGTTCCTTTAGTCCTAGATTCATTTGGAATTAAGACAGAACCCCCTAGGGCCAAACCACAGTAGGCTTGCGCCTGCTATGAACAAGAGGCCAGCCCAAGTGCTGGGTTGGCTGGACTGGTCTATCAATACTCTGTTCCCAAAGAATCACCTTATACTAAAGGTGAAAAGATGGAAACTGATGTTGCATGTTCTCGTACGGCTCCCATGTAGCGTCATAATCAGGAAGGTCCATCCATTTAATCAACACTTCTTTGATCCCTCCTCCCTAGTGTACCCACTATAGCTCTAGTGGTTCTAAAACCACTTCCAAAGGGCTCTATGCCCTATCGATTATACCAATTGATTCATTACTCAAGAATTTAGAGTCATTGGGGAACATACGAGCTATGATCAAGACTGTAATTTAGTGGTACCATTTGAAGGCAAAATCATCCAGTTAGACCAGTCATAACCGTTTAACTGTGGTGTCATTTGGTTGCAAATTACCAGTTAGAGGATATATGCCACGTCCTTACTCGCAAGAGATGGTTTGAGAATGAATCTTAGTGATATTCTCGACTGGACATTCACTCTTTGTGAGCTGAAGTAATTTTCAAATTTTTTCACCTCGACAAACTATTGCGGAGGATGGATGGATTTAAGTATTTAGGTGTTTAATTTTGTATTTAAATATTTAAATCTTGATAAATATCATATTTATAATTTGAGTCTCTAAGTGATTAATTTTGATATTTGGGGGCATTTAAAAGGTAGAGACCCCTCTGGTTGATATTCACATTCAATACAGTCATCATCGGGATTTATAGGTATTTTGAAATGTAGACTTCCCTTCAATTGAGATTTTTTATCAACACAGTCATCATTGAGAATTATGGATAATTTTACTTCACTATCTAAACCTTGTCGACTTTGTTTGCTTGCCAATAGAGAATTAAATTCAACTTCTAACTTTCAAGGTTGTCGTATAAGTAGCAGGATCGAGAGTCCATATTTTAATATGTAAATTTTCTTTATAAAAGTTCTTGAAGGCCTAATGTGAATGTATAAAATCAAATAATCTGGTTAATTCAATGAGCGTCAGTCGGAGAATTTGTGTTGTCGTAGGAGCGTCGGGTTTTAGGTTAATTTTCTCCCACAAATCTTCATATTTTACACCTTACCAAGCTTTTCACATGTGTATCTTTTGTCTTTGTGTCTTGGATTTAAGCTCAGCATACCCCACAGGAGAATCGATTCTTATTTTATAAATAGGGATCCCATTTGACTTACTTCATTTTCACGCATTTTAGCTTGCAAAGATAGGTTTCTACTAAGAAATTTGAATGTGCATGAGTAAGGTGCTAAAGAGGAAAATTTTAGTTCACATTCATGTTTGTCGGTGAGAAGTCAGTCTTCTAACAAGTTTACTATATGTTTGGTTTTAATTCATTTTTTTATTTCATAATTTACAACATAGGATTTTATGCATTTTCATTTTGTTTGTCAATTTATTTTACATTTCAATTCCTCTAAATTTAGTCTAAACCCATTATTTTGGTGTAAATTTCAACAACACCCTGACATCGTCCTCTTGTATGGGGCTACATCGGATGTGCAAGACCTTCCTGTCTATCAAGAAAGGAAATTATAGTCGGTGTGGGATGGCACCGTAGCCGAAATCACCAATCCCCTCCTGCCAAAAAAGATAGTCACGGGTCTTCATATATCTATTTATAAAGTAGCAGTCTTTCCTTGCGTGCCAAGAAAGAAAGTCACAAATATTTAGGATTTTCATGCAAAGCAGATTTCCTTGACTGCCAAGAAAGGTGGTCACAGGTACTCATTTTTATGCATAATAGATTTCTCCGTCTGCAAAGAAAGGTAGTCATGGGTACTTAATTTCATGCATAATAAATTTCTCCACCTGCAAAGAAAGTCAACCATAAGTACTTATTTTCACGCATAGCAAATTTTCCAGCATGCCAATAAAGGCAGATACGGGCACTTAATTTTTTCATGCATGATAATATTTCCCCGCATGCCAAGAAAGGCAGTCATAGGTACTTAGTTTCAGATAAATAATATTTCTTTGTCTAATAAGAAAGACAGTCACATGTACTAATTTCACACATATAGCAATATTTTCTCATCTGCTAAGAAAGACAATCACGAGTATATTTAGTTTCACACGTTGGAATTCATAAAATAACTAGTGTCAGCTGTCAAGTTAGGGTTATACCTCAAATGTGCGATGATAGAGGTGACAATGATGAGACGATAGCGATGACAATAAGACGACGACAACGACACCTGCGATGCATGAATATTTTTTCATATTCTTATCATTTATTTCATTATATATATATAGTGAAATAGGGGTGGCTAGAGAGAGAAAAAGAGGGAAAATCCTCTCTTTCTAGAGAGAGAAAGAGAGGGAAAGAGGGATTTTTTTAGGTTGGGAGAGAGTAGAGTTTTGGTGGAAAAGTTCTTGGAGAGAGGATGGGAGGGTTAAACCTCTCTTTCTAGAGAGAACAAGAGAGATTTTCCTCTATTTCTAAAGAGAGGGGATGTGAGGAAAAGTGGTAGAGAGGCATTATGGAGGGAGAGAGGAAGGCTAGCGAGAGAAAATGAGCTTTCTCTCTTATCTTAGAGTGAGAAATGTGAAATATGATGGGACTTTTGATGGAGAAGGTGTGGGAGATGTTAAGGAAAGTTTCTTGTGAATGTGATATAGGGATTTGTGGGAACGAGAGAGAAATTAAAAAAAAAAATTAGAGTTAGGCTTAAGTTTAGGAAAGAAGATGAAGGTGGAGAGGAAGGAAGAAGGTGAGGAAGGAGAAGAAATAAAAGGGAGGAAGAAAAAAATGAAGAAGATGGAAAGAGGAGAAAGAAGAGGAAGAAAGAAGAAGAAATAATAAGGAAATGAGGATGGAGAAAAAGAGAGGGGGGCGGCGGCTACCTTGGCCGCCGGCTGGAGTCGTAGAGCGTGAGTTGTGAGTGGCATGAGGGTACGAGTGAGGATATGAGAGGTGAGGTATTTATGTTATTAATATTATTATTATTTAGAGCTTAGGATTTTTTTATTATTATTATCTTTTATTTTTTAAAAATATAAAATTTACATTAACTTAAATTAATGACGAAATTTTATTATGCCTCGACTCGGTTATCAAGTCATCTTCATTCGTGCATGTCAATTTCAACTCGATTTGTGCTCGCAAAATTTTAATTTTCGCTGATCGACAATCCTGGCCAACATGCATGTCGATCAATGGTTATTTCAGCTGCCTTGAATGCCCTGACACTATCTGTTTCATGAACGAAGGTCATTTCGGCGATTTAAGTTTTTAGTCAACGCGCATTGGATGAGTTTCACACGACGTCACGCTCTTTTATTTTCAAAACTCATAGTGAACGGTCAACTTGACTTCGACACTAGCATTGAGGTCAACAATTAGGATGTTGAGAGTTGGGAGGGAATGTCGTGTTAGGAATCGAGGGGGTAGACGATAATGTTGTTGAGAGTTGGGCATCAATGTTGTGCAGTGGGCATTGTGCATCAATGTCAGGATAACATCAACCCTCAATATAAAGATGACATTAGTCATCGATGTTAAGATGATGTTGGACAAAGATGAGATGTCGGAATAGCACATGGGCATGATTGTGGGTATAGAAATTGTCGTCGTCGTTCGTCAATGTTAAGACATCATAATTTAATATTGAGATGTTTTAAAACATTGATGTTATGCCAAAGTCGGATATATGACATCGTGCGTTGTTATGAAATGCTAGTCATAGCCCACCAAAGAGAAATGAAATGGAAATGTTGGGGAATGAGATATTGAGTATAAGCAATTGATTTGAGGCTTTAGAGAGAAGATAAGGAATTTAGTTTGTTTTAATAAATGAAATGTAAAGTACAATAAATTATATTTAAAAATTCATAAAATATTCAAGGCACGCGAGCCCAATTTATTTTTAATATCTTTTTAATCGAACACATCTTTAGTGTGTCTATGGTGTGTCGAAGGCGTATCATATCCTATACATGTCAAATACTGCATACCTCTTCGATGAGAAGTGCCGGTGCATCATATGGTTAAAATGGCATTCCATATACCAACAGTGTAGCACCTTGCTAGCGTTATGAAGGTTTTAGCGCCCTTAATTGTTTATTTCTCCTAAAAATATTTTGCTTACTAAGACCAAAATTATGAAGAACCATCGGCTAAAGTTTTTAAGGTTGAACAAACAGAAATGCTTCAAAGTTTCATGAACAAAGAAATGTTGCATTCTTATGAATAAATAAATTAATTAATAAAAGAGGTGGCTAGTAACTCTCTTAATGATGCATTAATAAGCAAAATATAGTCAAATTATATTTTGAAATAAGGAAATTAGAAAATATTTATTTCATAGATTAAAAAAAAGAAGTTAAACTTTACTTGGCATCGTGTAACATCGGTTTACTAAGTTATGCGAGAATATAGCAGTGGATATGTTATAAGGGGGTGAAAAAGAATAGGATTGCTTGTACTAGTATTGACGAAAGATTATTATTCTAAGCATTTTAGCATCAGTAATTAAAAGATGAGATGATTTACACATACTCCCAGTTATACAGTACAGAACTAGTTGAATGTGAACCAGTTAAGATTAAACGAACAGAGGCCAATAGCTCTGCAGTTTTCTTGGTCCGATGGGACACCTAACTTCTTTTTATCAGAATTCTAAGCCTCCTACAGATTTCATTCTCAGAAGCGTCTTCTCTACAAATTCTGGGGTCTCACTATGCCTCTTTCTAACTTTAGAATATCTTGCAACAATGCAGAAGCATAGCCCGTTATTTGAATTCCATTAGCAAGACACACCCCTCGTGGACAACCATTGATGTGATCTGCAAGAATTCCTCTCAAATTGCATTTCCAGAAATAGTTCATATAACCTCTGTAATGCCTTATTAGACAGCTTGAAGATAAGCATGACAAACCTAATATTTATATACTAGAATGGCCTACAAATTCAAACAACCAGGTCTTAAGACTAATCTACATGAAATTCCAAAGAGAACAATACTAGGATAAAAGTAAAATTGCATTCAGTTCATTGAAGGCAAAACTTGATAATATCAAAGAAAATTACCCGTCTTGATTTTTTCCAAAATATGTTGGCATTCCAAGCACTGGCCCTTCCTGCTATTGATAAGAAACTTATTTTATCAAATGATGCCTGTGAAAAACTATAAGTTGCAAGGCATTAAAAGAGTATAAAGTGAAAATGCCAATAACTATCTAATAAGAACTAATAAAACCATGGGTTTGATGGCAGCCTTTTAAATAAGCTTGAAATGAATAACAAGGGAAAGAGAAAAAGATAAAGCAACAAAAACTACAACCAAATCAAGATAACACGTGAAATGAATGATATAGGTCAATATGATTTCCAAAAATGAAATAAATACAATCGTTTTGTTAATCTATCCTGAGGTCTCATTTCGCATCATGATTAGAAAGGTTGGGATTTATACAATGGAAGGCACGTTCTATTCTGCATGAATCTGCGAACTTTTGCAAGATGAACAAACAGAGAGGTTAAATAAGATTGCTAAGGACTAGAAAGAATAAGAGGCAGACTAAAGGAAACATAGTTAGAATTTGTGCATAAAGGCTAGAAAAAAAATGGTTAGCACTTGATGTAGGGCACAACAAGAATTAATGGAGAAAGAGGATTCATAAAGTCAAATAAACTGTGCAGGATAAGGTTAATGATGATGTTAAAAATGATGCTCGTGTTGTAGGGACCAGAGAGGTCCATCAAGTTCTGCATTTAATGGTCATTAAATTAATTTTCTTTTAGACTACATTTGAATGTATGTGGTCTTTCACTTCAATGAGCAGTCCTCCCTAATTCCCTAACAAATATGCTAAGGATAGGGAATTCCTAGTTTGCCACCATGCAACAGCTTACCCCCAAAGACTAAAAAGAGAGCCATGCTTAATATTTTGAAAAAGGAGGATTCCACATTGTAGTTCCATCATTCTCAGTTGCAAACTCCCCTCATTTTAGCATCCTCTTGTCATAAGCAAAGTGATATAGAGTGGAACTGAGAAATGATTTGTGATATATAATTTTAGATTTGATTTGTGAGAAGAGAAGAATTCGACATGGAAGGAGAATATGAGGTTGATAGATGAGGTTTCTGAAAGAGATTAATGAATGCCTTAGTGAAAAAGAGTCCTGAGATAGAAAGGAAGAAAGAAGAAAAAAACTCAAGTCATTGAGCCCTACTTATAAATACAGGCATTATTAAAAACGGTGAAACTATCTCCAAAAACTATGAACATATCTAAATAGTCCTAAATTATAAATGATATTTAACCGCATTACTAATTGACTTAAATTCAAAAAATGAATGCTCAAATGGCAAAGAAAATACAGAATAATAACAATGGACCGAGACATGCATTGCAATAATCTCTTTCAATTGCCAAGAACTCTACTCTAGTAATGTTACCAGTCGAAGGATTGGAAGTCAAGGATTGCAACATAAAGCTAGTGATAAGTCATCTTGTAAAACAGAGATAAATGGAAAATCAATCATGAAAAATTTATAAATAAAAAAAAACTATCTTAAGGTGGAAGAGACGAATAGGAAAAGCATCCCCACATCAATAAATATTAGTAGAATGCTCTGTCATACACCCTCAAGAACATTTTCACAATTATATAATCATATCTACTTGGTTGATGATTCTAGGCCATCTAAAAGGATACTCATGAGGATGTTAGCTACTTCAATGGGGGAGGTTTTGAAACTACTTTTAAGAAGGATGAAGTTAAACTCTCAACCACTATTCATTTTTCCTATTGGTCTAACGGTTTAATCCCCTTGCTATAACTTCTTCAAGATCACCCAACCCAAAAGTGCACCCATATAAGCACACTTAACTTCAGAATTTCTAATGACTAGAAATTCTAGTCATCATACAAAAATGGGTCTCAATGTTCAATGTTTAAGAATTGAGCTTCGTTTTACTTCAGGGTTTTCACAATCTCGCGCACTTAAGTAATTAAGTATCATCAGTATCCGTATACATCTAACCATGCACCAAGAAAATAGGATTTAAGAGGTGGCCTATATCGGATCAAAAGTCGGATCCAATCATTTGGTATTATGCCCTAATATGGGTTTAAAAGATGTCTCCTATGACATGGCAATACATGTCACTTAATTCTTATCCTCCGATTGGTATATTGCATAGACAACAATTGTGATAGCTTGAAATTTTAACAATCAAAATAATGCAATTTTGACCTGGTAATCTCAGTGTTGTCCCCTTGGTATAACTTCTCAAAAGGTTACCCATTTCAAGAGTACTCTCATACAAATACTCATAACTGTCAGAATTTCTAATGAAATTTCAGATGATACACCAAAAGGCACTTTGATAAGAGTTCAGCTTCATTTTACTTAAGAGGTTTTAATAGAAGCTTAAATGCCTACATACACATTCCTGAATTTATCTGACCTAACTTAAGTATAGGCTTATTGAAGCTCGAATTTTGATTATGTTAGGTAATTTTGGTTAGGTTGAAACATAAATGGATTGGGTTGGGCTAAATCAAACGAGCGACACAATTTTGAATTGTGGTCAGTTGCGATAGGTCAAATATTGGAGTGCAAATAGGTGAGACATGCTTGAGTAGCATGTAAGCAAAAGGATGAAGAACACTTGCAAGCATTTGTAGCAAAGAGGTGGATCAATATTTAAGACAAACACCAATGATCAATGATGAAGAACCAATTATGATGTGATACCTGAGTCATCATCTAGTTGGCGTATTCTACTTCCTAGACGCCATCGCCAAAATAGAAGTTAAGGCAAGGGTTTCTCAATCTCTTCTCTCTTCTACTCAAAGGTGATCATGAAAAGGGTGCAAGTTAGGTAACATAGGGTTACAATTGATAATGAGAGTAATCAAAGGTGGTTAAGGTTGTAAATGAACCGACTTGAGCCAAGTATTATATTTTTCAAGTTCATTCATTTATTTTTTTATTAAATTCAAGCAAAGCTTAAACATATCCGAATTATATAATCTTGTTCAAATTTGTTTATTAAATTTCATATCGACTTGGAGTCAAAATCAAGCTTTAATCAAGCCTAGATACATATACGTTGGATGTTTATAATTTAAACATATAGCTGAATTAGTGGACATAATTGGATGTATAGATTTTAATAAATATTATCATAATTCATTAGGTGTTATCTAACTTGTTTACTGAAGTTTAAATAATAATAAGATAGATTTTAAATCTATCTATCTAACCATTTATTTGATATTTTTATTATACATTTACATCTAATAATATATATATGATTTTTAATACTTAAATGTGTGCTTCAAAAAATTCGCACCCAGCTTTGTTGAGAGTGTTTCAATTTCGAGTCAAATTTTTAGAAGACATTGAATTGTAGATAAACTACCACCCAAAGCGTACTCTAATTTTGCAAGGACTTTATGATCTGATTCCATGTTTCATGTAGACACAAACCTTTATGGTTAACTACTCCTCATAGTGATGAAAGAGAGCTTTTGATTAATGCGAGTCGTTAGATATTAATAGCTAGCATATAGTAGCAACAATTTGGCTTAAGATTGAACAATTTATCACTATAAATATAAAGCAAAAGAGAAGAAGAGAGAGTTGGAGAGAGAAAGCTAGAGAGGGTGGCCCATTTTTTGACCTTTTTAGATGGAGAGAGAGAGAGAGAGTGTGCGTGTGTGACATAAAGAGATACAATTTGCATGATGTTGCATCTGTTGTTCATCAAATTCAAACTCAATTTGCATCATATCACATCTGTTGCTCGTCATTTTGGTTGAATCAAGTTGTGAACGTCCTTCCTTGGTAATTTTGACACTCCAGATGCATCGATGCAATATGTTTTACAAACAAACAACGGTTGAGTGACTTTGATACTGGACGAGGTGCTTCAAACTCAATTTGTGTGACATCACATTAGTTGGTCATTATTCTCGTCATTATCACTTAAATTTAGTGCGAGACATACACAAATTATAGGAATGTTGATACAATAAAATAGAAAAAGTCATCAAATAAAAAAATTTATTCATTATTAAATAAGTATTTTATCATTTTCTTAATGAGCTACTAGTTATACAATAAATGAGCATATTCATAAACATAAACAAATAGACAAATCGGTGCCTCTGTTTAAAATTGCGCAATAAGAGGCGCGCCTCTGCGCAATCGAGGCTTATTTACGCAATTTTAAACCTTGATCGGTGCTCATTCATTTATATGATTTATGATGAACTTTTAATATTTTGTTCAAGCTTGTTCAATTATGTAAATAAATAAATATAAATGAGCATTATATGAATGAGTATCGAAATGATCATCAAATACATATATTTACTTATAGCCATAAAAGCGATAGTAAAGAGAAAAGGCATTAAATTTCAAAACCTAGGTTAGGGCACTAGAGTGTAGTTTTGGAGAATTTTGTAGTGGAGACAGTTAGCAACGTGGGGAAGAGTATGATGTTTTCCAATGGTATTTAGTGCACGCTAGTCAAGAGGATGTGGTGTCCCCACTGGCTGTTGGCATTATTACCGTGGAAGCTAAAGAGAACCTGTGGTGAATTATTTTGTTTTGATGCCAAATTGATATAGAACTAGTCAACAAAGCAATTTATAAGAGGTATTGTGATATTGGATTCATGAGAAGAGAAGAAAGAGCTAGAGAGTTTGACAGAAGAAAGGGATGGGGGTTAGGGATTAATGAATCTCTCAAAAGTAAAGATACATGAGGTAGAGAGGAAGAAAGAAGAAACAAACCCTAGAAGGAAGAATCCCCATTGGAAAGGTGATAGTAAACCTTTCTGTGTTTTAGCTTTAACTCTCTTTCAACTACAAGACAATGAGCTATATTTATAAAAATAATCCTTACAGAAAATGATGAAGCTACCACCAAATAAATATGAAAATACCCAACTAGTATTAAATAACAAATAACAATTAAACCCAACAATAATTAACTTAAATACAAATAAGGATAATCAAATGATAATGAAAACAAAAACTCGTGACAACAGAGTATGGACTAACATAAACAAGCACCGCATCACAGTTATCAAGAGCTTTTACCATTCTCCCATGGACTACGGAGGGTACACTGTAGACATGATTTCTGAAAAGAGTTTAAGAAGGAATCATTTTTCATCATCCATGTTATCCTATTATCAGGCAAATTTAAATGCAATCACGTTATAGTAACAGTTACATAAGCAACAATACCGAGAGCCCATTGCCTACTCTTATCGTGAAAAAGCAACAGTTTCTATTGGTTTTATCCTATCAATTTTATGTTTTAAGATATCAATAATGGACAATAAAAAGTATAGATGGGTCCTCATTCCAGTAAAATACCAACCAAATGGAAGAAAAACCAGGAATGACATTTTTAAATGAGAAAAACCTGGAATTTGAATATGAAAAGGATGACACGGTTACTTAATCATGCTAAATTACAGGTCATTTAATCATAGTAAACTGTAGATGAAACATATACTTCTTAAAATAAGAATTGCTAAATGTTAGCTTGCATATCGAACAGCATGAGGATCATACCTCAAATTCCTCAAATTCATGGCCTTCAACACTAACACTAGTGACACTGGAAAAATCATCAGGAGCCGATCGGATCAGAACTTGAGCTTCTTCCCAAGTTAGATTCAACTCAATTGAGTCTTCATTTTCAATTCTCAGGCGTTTACTTTTTGAACCAAGAGCACTGTTTTTCTTTTTACAAGGAATGTGAGAAAGCTTTGGCGAAGAACCAACCTTTTGAATGAATCCAGCCTTTTCATTCTTAGACCAACTTTCCTTGTCCGCCATCTCTGTTTGGTTTCTTGATTCTATATTTCCTTTGTGAGGTCGAAGAGGGAGGTTCGTGATGAAATCCATAGCATTGCTTTTAACATCTGAAGATGCTGAAGAACCATTTCCAGCTTGAGCTGCTTGATTGTCCTGTAATTAATGTAGAAAAACATAAGGCCAATCTCCACTAGAAACTAGAAACTATCCTCTTCAATAATCAGTTGTACAAATAAGAATCTTAAAGCATAGCCCTCATAATAGAGAAATATGAAAAGCTAGTCAGGACAGTTTGGATAGAGAGAAATATGAAAAGCTAGTCAGGACAGTTTTGGATAGAGAGCACAGAAAGGATCTTCACATGATCTTTATTGACTTCGAAAAATATAACCGAGTGCCACAATAATTAATTTGATGCACAATAAGACAAATATGTGTATCATAGATATGCTAAAGTTATAAAAATACGTAAAATAGAGCAATGTTTAGTATTACAATTACTTGAGGAGTGCAAAAGAGTGATTACATTACAGGAATCATTGAGTGACATTTTTAATATAAATAAATTGAAATAGACTTAAATAGCTTGGATGAGTATAACGATGAATAGAAACACACCTATTAAGTGGAGTATATAGTGTCAGTGTAAACACGGTGAAGGGTCAAGGCATTAAGGAATGGAAGGTGCAGAACTAAAATAGCAAGGATGGAAATTGCTCAAAATGATTTGTGAAAAATAAGTTTAATACATCAAAAAACACTTGGTAGGAATAAATGAAAATGAGGATTCATAAATGTCGCTCCAAATAGTTGGACGATAAAGCAATGAAGTTTTATATAGGCTTCTATATGTCTTCATATTATCCTTAATTATTAGTAGAATGATGCACGGCTAGTGACAATTAAACCAATATTAATGTTGATATAACTAAGACACATGTAATCTAGGTATAGATGAAAAGAAACATTTGATCTTATATTTAAAGACCAAATAAGTAGACTTAAAAACAAAATTGGACATAGAGTAAATATTCACCTGGTACAGGAGAAAAAAATCAACTAATATCTGTATTTAGATATTTATGCATATACAAATACATGTCTAGGTGGCATGTGTCCATCTTCTAATTTTAATATTCATATCCTATGGTTTAAATAATTAAATTATGACGGGCTTGCATGTCATTGTATCGTGAAGCTCCAACATTCATGCCCCATAAAGCCAAATCATACTAAGATATGTCTATGCAATGGATGAGATATTTCTGAAGGTCTCCAAGCATTTTAACCTCAACTGCTCGCACAAGTGGCCATGCAGCACACAAGCTAACATAAAAATGGTCCTTACATTATTTTCAACTAAATATACAACATCTAGCCACAATAGAGAATGCATACATGTCTTGAATACAATAAAACTGTTTAAATTTTAAAATAAGTGAATGTTGTGCCGCAGTTCATCCCTGCAATCTTCAAACTAAATAACTACAAACCTGCTCAGTACAAGATGAAGTAGAAGCCTTCCTGAATCCCATGAGAAACTTTCCTTCTGGATCAATCCGGCTAAATGTTACTGCAGAAGCAACTCTATCATAAGTTCCAAATACTTTGCAGTATAGATGATCAATAAAAATTCCAATGTGAAGCTATGTTAACTTTAATCCAAGAAGAAAGATAAAATATGAATGCAGTATGAGATTCTCCAACATAGTATACATCTAGATGAGCACGAAGCAAACATGCGAGAATAGATGAATATCAGTTGCTGCAAGAAAAATAGAGCTCAAAGTACATAAAGGAATGGTTGAAGACATAAAAGCACATTCAATCATAGATGCAACTATAATTGGATGTAAATAAATAGAAGAAATAAAAGAAAAACATTTTCATCTTATAGTAGTCAACTTCATCAGCATCACTATCATCGATATGTTCTTGTAAAATTATAAAGTATAAATTAACCTTGACCATCTAAAAGTGGTGCCAAGATTCTTTGTAAAATTATAAAGCCACCTCAAGATGCGTAATAGCCCTTTAAGCAAACCCGAGGAATTAAATACCAATATTGAGACATCAACAAAGAAAGAATTGTCAAGTTTAAATCAGACCCATCATCAATGTAAAAGCCATCCAATGACCTGATTCCAATCTTAGGTAACACAAAAAGCCCAAGTCCTTTATCCATTTGTCCAGCATTGCAAGGGACAAAATGATACAACAACAACCTTAGAGATAAGGAAACTCACTTGTCAACCCTCTGATTGGTTGGAGAGCAAAATAACTTCCACCCAGAGGAGTTTGCATCCAACATGGATCTAAAAGATGAAGTATCTCCCACATGCTCCACCATCCAAATGCCCAACAAAATTACTCAACTACCGTCCACCCTTGCCTTCATAAATACCAATACCCTCCCTCCGAGGAAAGGTAAAGTAACTACAAACCCTTGAAACCATTATAATTTTTTCAAATTTTGATGAAATAATGTTATATTCTTTAAGAGTTGTTGGATGAAGTACACAAGCAACACTAGGACAAAAAAAGAAAATAATAAGCTAACCACCGTAACCTCACCAAAAGAATCTATTACTCTCGACTTTATTAAAGGAAGAAATGAAAAACTAGCCATCAAGCTAAATTTGAGGAGACAATTTGTATTCAACAAAGGATGCCTATTTATACTACTTGTACCATGAAGAGAATATTAAGAACTTTTGGAATGTAAAATGACAGAAGATTAAATGAGTAATCATAATATAAGAAATTACAGAATTACGTGAGTTGAAATATTTTGCTATCTCTTCTTCCATCAAATCATCATGGGTGGATGTCCAATCATAAACTTTATTTATCCTCCTTCCTTGCTCGTGCACTTTCTTTCTTCTCTTTTCATGGGTTGGTGGGCGTTTCTCAAATGAAACTCACATCATCTTGTAACCTCAAAATGTAGTAAAAAGTCATGAAAGACAGATGGTGTGTCTAACCACGTTATTAGGCATGAATTCGGCTTAAAATTATATGCAAAAAGTGGGCATAAGTGCGAGCAACAATTATCATTTCCCCCAATTATTTTCCTTAAAATTAATGCATAAAAAGTAAAAACAATATTATGACAATAAGTTTTTTTTTTAATTTATTCTTGCAAAGCTATGTTTTATTTTTCTCAAGTCGTAGATCTTATGATTAGTTTGTGAGCTATAGGTAGTGGTGTGCTACATGAAAAATCTCTTGAGAAAGATTCAAATGGGCGTTTCTTTCCTAAACTTTCAATCCCGCCTATTGACTTCAGCTTTAAGAGGAAACGTTCTATGGAGAAAACTCCCATTTTATTTGATTGTGCATGTGTGCTTGAAGCGAGTGATCCCTGTGAATTCCATAACATAAAAATCTTAGTCAATTTTGAACTATTACTGATATGAAACAATTTGGCACCGTTAGTAGGAAACCATTCCACCACATTCAAGTGGTGCATTACAAACTAAACATTATGCATCTATGTGCAAGGATTTTAAGATCCAAGAAGGTCAACCCTCTCCTCCTCAGTAGTTAGACCATCTGTATTTTAACGTCATCAACATTAAAGAGCTCTTGAACTCTCCATCAAGTACTAGAGGAAATCCAGTATGGCTTGCCTCTTATAATGGGCATCCAAGCAAATGTCTTTTGAAAATCACATATGCCAACTTTAAGTTGAGAATGATGGCGTGTGCTCTTGCAAATTCTATCTTTGACCTCCAATAGACATGGAAGATACGGATATATTGTATTTTCCTCTTCAAACTGCTCTAATGCCCACTCCTCAGCTAGCATCATTATCTACGCCTTCTTATACAACTTTGATCCTCACTCATTAGCTAACACCATTGCTCGCACCTCTTCATATATCTCCAGAGCAAGCTCCTTAACCAACATAACTGATTGCACCTCTTTTCAAAGCTTTGATGCTCACATCTCCACTAACATCACCCATCAAAGTTGATGGCTCTTTTTTATGCAACTTCAATACATGTTTCTCAGCAAGCATCATCACCTTCACTTTCACATAGTTTTCATGCCCTCTCCTCATCTGGCTTCAATGGCTCATAAACTCTTTTAAGATAAGTAGATATCGCTTGCTGCTAATTCCATATCAATATTTTGGTTCAGCTTCAGCTTTTATTTTCTTTTCTTTTCTTTTTTTTCTGTTTTGATGGTTGTAATGTATTATTGGGGCATGAAAAAGGGTCTATCTATTGCAAAAGTAAATATGAAAATAAGGTAAAAGACAAAATTAAGACAACAAAACTTCAGGTCAACGGAAACAACTTACCTGTATCACCTGCTTGCAATTGCATTGACTGAATGCAAGGTGTAACTCCCTCTAGAACATACATCCTACTGTTGTTATTAGGCCAGAAACGAAACTGAAATACCCACTCCTTGCCACTGGCATCTTGCATTTTTAATGGAAGGCCTTCTGGCTGAGAAATCGTTGGAAAGTATGCCTGATTATTTCATATACATGTTAGCTCCATGCCACATATCCATTATGCATGTGAATGTTTGAAGCAAGTAATCAGGTGGAAGATTAGACTGAATTCATGACAAAAGAATAAATAGGAAATCAAATGTATGTCATAACTGTCTTCCAAGCATCTGTGATTACATGAGAATCATTGGGATTTGTAAAAATCCCTACCAAGCCAAACATAAATTTGACATGAAGCACACATCTCATGCTGACTAAGAAGAATTGAACTTGAGTCCAATTAGTCTAAGTTTGACTGAACAAATCCTTAATCAAGCTTAGAGTGGCGTAGTAACCCTGTGATAAGATCTAGCATTCTAGCATGTTTGCACCAAATATATATAGATAGATAACTTTAAAAAAAATCCATAGATCGATGCTTTAGGGCCTGAACGACCCCAAACCATACTGACAAAGTGGAACCAGGCTAATATATAAAAAATTGAGCCTAGCCAGCCACTCCTTCCTAGCGTGAGGTCAGAAGAGCTTTCTTCCAGGGTGGCAGTTGCCTTACTGTTCAATGACTCCCAGAAATGTTAGACAAAAGAACTCATTATGGGCCCGTGTAGCCCATTTTTTTACCGTTTTAGCCCATTTGAACAATAGCTTTAAATTCTTATCTCAAATTCCATCTACTTAGCTTCCTCTTACATGAAGACAGCATAAGATATGTATTTGATTCAATCATATCGAGATTTAGAAAAAGACTAAGAACTAATTTAATAGAAGGATCAAGCGGTTTAGACAAAAAATGACCTGTAGTCCTGGGGGACTTCGTACGTTAAAGTCCAGGGATAGGCTCCAATTGAAATTTTGAACCAAATTTTGGGTTTTTACGATCCTTTAAGCAAATTGAAAATATTTATCACGATTGATAAATATTTTTTAACTCATTAATAGAGATGTTTAAATAAAGATGAGTTGTTATGATCATAAAATTTCCCTTCTTTTGATTAATCAAGAATTTTGAAGTGAAGAATTTATCCCAATGTGTCCCTGAAGAATCGAACTAGAGCCCAATCAAACTTGATTTGATTGAATCATGCCTAAAGCATGCTTAGAGTTGTGCAGTAACCTCCACAAAATATTTTGTCACACCAAGTTTGAAGATTCCTAGATTGATAGAGTTTAAGGTTGAATGTTCCCAAACCAGCTAGACCAAGCAGGAACAAACAAACTTGATTAAGTCGACACCTTCCTTAGGTGTACAAGTGAGGAAACTTCAATGTGGGCAAGGGTGGCCTTGCTGCTACCAACAGTTGGGGGGGTCTGGGTGGGGGGGACGAAACTGGCTCCTAGAAGCTCGTCGCCAGGAGAAAGTGGGAGGACTCCAATAGTGTCAGCTTGTACTCATAACTATGCAATTCATTCTTCAAGGTTCATACTTCTCTAATTCATTCTGCAAGGTTCATACTTCTCTAAGGCATTACGTATTTTCTATCATTTCACAAGCCATTCTTCTAAAATGCTATTCTCATGAAGAAGTGCTGATCCATGTAAAAACAATGAGACATTGTTTTATGATTCTATTATATCCATTCAAAAGATGATAGAATTTCTAGTAATTGATCCTAACAATTAGCCACAAAACTTCGATCAATCACCACCAATGCACAAACAAAAGGGGTTGTTGTTTAAGGACAACCATCATCTAATCAAATTTCAATCACGGGGTGCTTAAATCTACACAAATCGTTGTGAAAAAACATTAAATATCATGGATAAGGACTCAAATAACTCTTGAGAAATAGGTTTATAGGGTTAATTTTGGTTCATTTGCTAGGATTTTCTATTTTTCTTTATAATTTTGGACTTGGAGAAACTTCATCATCATCAATGACTTGTTGTACTCTCTTGATCGACGGTCATCCTGGCAATAACATCAGCAGACACATGATTAGTAAACATCTGTTGAAAATGATTATATAACATATTATGTTTCCAGGGACAATTTTTTTGGCTTCCTACACCTGTGAAAAAAAGTTTTGGCTGTCATAATAGACGATGGATGACTGGATGTGCCACTCTATACAGCCAACTTAAGACAATCTCATATTCATGACCACAATAGCATATCACAGCTTGTGTGGACGTCATTTGGAGACACCATCATTTGTGCTATCTAGGAATGTAGACAACCCTATCACCGCTCATTTCCCCTATTTTTGCAATCAAGGCATGCAGTAACCAACTTAAGTGCCCTTATTGACACTAGCTGCTCAAGTGACAGCTTATACTAAACTCCGTTCAGTTTCTTACTTTTAGACAAAATTTCAACAAATAGAGGATCTTTACAACTAGACCAAGTCCCATTAATATTCCACCTCAGAGGGGGTTTCACGCAAAAGTCTGCTCTCTTATACTACGCTCGGATTTTCTAAACTAGCTGTAAAACCGTTGCATTCTTATGGCATGTGAAAATCTCTTATGGGTTAAGGTTATACTTCATGTATCCTAATTCCTGAGATTTTCTTCCCTTGTCATACTTAATGTCTACTACTTCCCACAAAACAGTTCATGTATACATGCAAAGTTTTATAAGGATGCTTCAGAAAAATGCATAATTAAAGGGTATTAAATGTAATATCCAATTAATAAGCTTCACATAGCTGGAAGCTCACCATTCGTGCCTTCCCAGAGCCTGGAGTTTGCGAGTTTGTGTGGGAGAGAGCTCAGCTGCTGGGATTGGGGGAATCGGCTGTAGAAGAAAAATGTCCAGGAAGGGGAATTAGGGATAAAGCAGAAGAAGAAGAGGAGGAGGAGAAGAAAGGAGAGGAAAGGGAAGAAAAAAAATTGATTTATTGTAGATATCCTATTTTTGAAAATTTTCTAGTTTAAATAATATTCATTATCGATATAGGATTCAAGCGGTATATGAGAAGGATAAGTTTTGAGGTAAAACATTATTTTGGAATAAATAGATTTATATTTGTATTGTTAGGAAGAAATAATAGAAATTATAATAATTTTGAAATTTGGATTGACACGACCCGCCAACCCTACGAGGAAAATCAAGGTTCGAGCCGACCCTTTTAATAAATGGGTCGAGGATGGATTTGGGTTGACTTGCAAACCTATTTTTGACCTAAAAGTGACACATTTAATATTTTTTCTTAAATTCTTTTACTTACTACTATGATCTTCTTATTTTTTATCAATTAACCAAAACTCTATGATTGATAAGTTATAAAAAAATATAATATAAATGGGTTATCGGGTTGGATTTGGATTATTTGGGTTGCTAGCGAGTGGAGCTCAAGTTCACATTTTTGAAATGTTTATTGAACAAGTCATGTTTGGGATGATTGGATTCAGATCGTGTATATTATGAGTCGGACCCGAACCTGACCTAACAACATATTTTGAAACCTCTAGTTCTGAGGTGTTCGAGTCGAGATGTTATATGAACAAGTTCTTTAGTCTTTTGAATGTACATTTTAAAATTCTTCATATTGCTGAATGTAAATCCACAGTTTCATATGCATGTGTAAATGACCACATAAAAATTTTAATGATTCAAGCTAAAAATTAAGTATCTTGTGATTATATAATATTTTTCTAATTGATAATATTAAAAAAATTATTATTTACAATCTCCCTTGTTATATATATATGAATTGAAATCACCTCTTTATTTTATAATAATGCATGACACGTCAAATTACAAGTTAAATTAATTGATTAGAATCTACTAAGCCTGAGAAATATTATGTTAGGTGATGGATAGCAATGATATGTATATGATACTTATGCAGGTTGGGCAAAAAGGGACCCCAATAGAGATAAAGAGGACCTCAATATAGTACAATAATGATAAAGTTAAGTTTTATTTGGGCTCTACTGAACTCTATGTTGAAGCCCTAAAGGCTAAGTTTATGTATGATGGCCATAAAACTTAAATATCTAAACATAACACATTATTAGACCAAAGTAAATTGAAAGGTGAAAAATAAGATAATTAAGAAAAGTAACCAATAAGATGCTTAAATTCAAGATTAGGTATTTAAATCATTAACTAACATGACATTGTTCAACCTATAAATATTGTGATAGGCATTATACTACTACCCTTTCATGAATATATTAATGTTAAATGGTTGTATAGTTTATGACTATGTCAAGTCTTAACCTATACACATGTGGTTTAATGTTCTTGAGCATTTTCTATTAGAGTTTCTTTTTTTTTTAGCCTCATACCTCGTCAAACTTTTATTTTGGCTGTTTTTACAAGATGGATGTTGGCTCAAGTAAAATGATGCGTCGGCCTGAATCCTGCTTTACAGACATATGATTATATTCTCTTTAAGGCAGATTGCAGTTAACCAAATTTTCCCTGAGGGTAAAATCAGGGTTTAATTAGATATGGGTCCTTCCTATAAGTGCAATCCATCATAGTTAATTACCCCTCTTACTGCATAAGAGAGAACTCTCGATTAACGATAAATAATTTTAGGTGTTTTAGTCTCGTTTATGGGAGATGAATGTAAACCCAATCAAGATCCAATGGTTCTGTCATTCCGGGAATATCATAGGTATCAGTTTACCAACATTAGCAATCGTTGATCGTAGTGTCCAGGGTATCTGATTAGCAGCCATTGGTTGCCACCTCTCAGGTAATCACGAGTAGACTGAGGTGGCTAGATGTGGGTTGCATTTTTATGGTGGTTTAAGGTTTACATCTGTTAGAACACCGAATAGTTGATTTAGTTTGGGATTTATAACTATTTATAAGTTACCCAATTAATTGAATTGGTTTGGGGCTTACATTTAGAAGTTGTTCGATTGTTTTAGAAGTGGGTCTTAGGTTTTCTAAAGTAGCTCGTATGTTTGAATTTGGGTTTGGACTTATGTCTTTCATTAAAAGTTGCCCATAGGTTTTAGAAGTAGGTCTTATGAGTTATGAATTCTATTAGAAGTAGCCCGAATAGAAGGTTTACAGCCTTTTCTAGAAGATGTCTGTCTATTTTAGATAGGTCT